CCAACACCAGCACCAACACCACCATTATCATCTTCTTCATAATATTGATACTCCGCATATTTATTTTTATTATTAAATTTTTTTGTATCACAAAAAACGTTTTCATTTATAATTGGCAATAATAATAATTAGTATTAGTCGACTAAATTAGTTGACTATTAGTTGTTTAAAAAAAAAGTTGGTTGACTAAATTAGTCGACTATTTTAGTCGATTCCAACCTCTACCATCTTTAACTGTTAACTATATGTTACAAATCAACTGTTACCATTACTATTGCTACCATTATTAATATTAATATTATAATTACTATTATCCAATAATACATTATTATCACTAACTGATGGTTTGCTATCATTGATTAATGGTCATTATTACTGTTAATTCCTTTTATATTATATCGGTCGCGTTTACTTCGTCGAAAATTATTTCGTCGACAATCATTTCGTCAACACCCATTTCGTCGAATGTTTGCTTCATCGAATGTTCGTTTCGTTGAATGTTCGTTTCGTCGAAAATTATTCATCCTCGAGCCAGAGACTGAAAGAGTTAGATGCGAGGAGTGTGGGAAGTTAGTTAAGAAATTAGATGTGGGAAGCGAAGTGTGAGGAGAAATTTGTTTTTTTTGTGACGAAATAATTTTCGACGAAATGAATCAGACCTCCTTTTATTCGTTTGTTCGAGTTATCCGTTTTATATATTTGATTTATTCATTTATTTGAGTAAAAATTTATTTGAATAAAGTTTCAAATACTCAAATTCATAATAAATACGATAAATGATAGAGTCATATGATTTATAATCTTGTGACACCAGAGTATCATTGCTATTTTTGGATTGAAGATTTATGTGAGCAGTGTTAGGTGTGATGTTATTGTCAAGTAGTTGGATAGATGATTGACTGTCTGTATAAAACAGTGTTGTGGACAAGTTATAAGAGCAGTAATAATTTCCATTAATTCTGTTCTTGTTGAAGAGGGAAAGGATGTCAATGAACAAGAAAAAGAGTGTTTGACATTTTCATCTTTTAATTGAATCCAGGCACAAGATAATTTAATATCTTGTTGACCAAATTTTGATAAAG